TCCCGTGTACTCCTGCCCCCTGAACTATCTCCCTGTGCATATACAGCCTTTCTATTCTCCCATAATTGATCTCTCCAAGGAATGTATCTACCTGATGTAAATGTTCAGCTTATATGCCAGTGGTTCCATCAGGCTCCATCAGACCAACAAACCTTCTCCCCGCCCCCTTTTGTATTTCTGGTTAAGGATTTTGAATTTTGTTCCACATTGTTCTCCCACTCTCCAGGATCTCCTACATAGATCCCCCTCTGAGTGGTTGACAGTGGTAGCCAGGCACCATCTAGTTCTTCTGGTCTTATAGTCATATAGGCTGAGGATTGTATGGTGTACCAGTCGCTTGGACTACTTGTTTCCATGTGTCTTTGGTTTTCTTCATTCTTCTTTGCTCTGGACAAGGAGAGACCCATCATTGTATCTAGATGACCGCTTGCAAACTTTTAAGATCCCAGTCACTATTTGCCAAAGTAGTATGTGTAACAATGTTTTTGTGTAGTATGTTATGCCAACTGAGCTTGATATCTCCTGCGACTGTGGTCCCAAGCCCACAAATCCAACTACTTGCTCCTTCTGGGTAGCTGGCTGTGGCCAAGAAGTGACTACAACCTTGTCCCTTGTCAGCTCTACCATATACCTGGGAATTATTAGAGAACACAGCAATACACTTGTAGAAACATTGTCCGCCAACTTGATACTTGGTCATGGGCACGCTCCCCCCTGCATGTTGTTGTTGTTGTTGTTGTTGATATCCCCCCTGCATAGATATATCTAATAGTTTAGCCTGTCCACCCATCTATCCACCTGTATATCAATGTTTGCCTTCACTGACAACACAGTACTATATGTGCAGAAGGGTTCATCTTTGTTGTCTGTACCTCCCATGCACCCCTCTATGTCTTCCTCTTCCTCAGTGCCACTGTTTTGATCACTCACATTTGGTACGTTGCCCTTCTCTTCACCCAAATCAATACTTGTCTCTACCTATCTAACAGTGTTCCCTCCCCTCCCCTTCCACCCCTGGTAACCAACAAAGAAAATTTCCTTCCATATGTAAACCTTTCTTTGACTTTTTACAATAATGGACTAATACAATATTTGTCCTTCTGTGATTGACTTATTTCACTCAGCATAATGTCCTCCAAGTTCATCCATGTTATGTGGTGTTTTGCCAATTCTGTGTTATTCTTTAGGGTTGCATAATATTCCATTGTGTGTATGTACCATAGCTTGGTTATCCATTCTTCTGCTGATGGGCATTTAGATTGTTTCCATCTTTTTGCTGTTGTAAATAGTGCTGTAATGAACATGGGTGTGCATATATATGTTCTTGTCCTGGCTTTCACTTTTTTAGGATATATACCTAGTAATGAAATGGCTGGGTCAAATGGAATTTCTAATTCCAACTTTTTAAAGAATCGCCATACTGCTTTCCACAGTGGTTGCATCATTTGACAATCCCACCAGCAGTGTATGAGTGTCCCAATCTTTGTGCATCCTCACCAGCATTTGTTATTTTCTGTCTTGTTGAACTTTGCTACTTGGGATGGGGCAAGGTGGTATCTTGTTGTTTTGATTTGCATCTCTCTAAAGGCTAATGATCGTGAGCATTTCTTCATATGTTTGTTGGCAGCCTGAATATCCTCTTTGGTGCAATGTCTATTCATCTCTTTTGCCCATTTTTCAATTGGATTATTTGTCCTTTTGTTGCTGAGGTGTTGGAGTTTTCTATAAATTCTGGAGATAAGTGGGAACTCATTTTTATCACCGAGTAGTATTCACTCACTAATTCCTGAGTATTATATATATCACATTTTATCCATTTATCTGTTGCTGGACACGTAGGTGTTCCCATCTTTTTGCTGTTGTCAGTAGTGCTGCAGTGAACACAGGTGTGCATATGTCTGTTTATGTCACTTCTATTAGATCTCTAGGGTATTATACCTAGGAGTGGTATATGGGTCATATGGCATATGCCAACTCTACTTTTTTTTTTGGGTTTCCTTGGGTTTCTTTTCTTTTCTTTCTTTCTTTCTTTTTTTTTTTTTTTTGAGGAACTGCCTGCTTTCTACAACAGCTATACCATTTTGTATTCCCACCAGCAATGAATGAGGATGCTCTACCTTAATTTTGGCAGGAATGGGACCCTTTGATGTTCCCACAGCCTCAAGTCACCATGACCTTTCTGTTCAGATGCTATCTTAGTTGTAAGTGCTGCTACAACAGAAATACCACAAGTGTGTGTCTTTAAAGAACAGAAATTTATTTTCTTACAGCTCTGGAGGCCAAAAGTCCAAATCAGGGTCTCAGCCATGCCAATTCCTTCTGTGGCTTCTCTCCTAGTTTCTGGTGTCTACCAGTGAGTGATCTTTAGTGTTCCTTTTGTTGTAGGTGGGCCCACACATTGTGTCTCTCTTCCCCTGTGTGTTGCTGTTATGTGCCATCGAGTTGGACCCGACTCAAAGTGACCCGTCCTTGGGTTTCCGAGGCAGTATCACTACAGAAGTTGATTGCCCCATTTTCCTTCCGAGGAGTGGCTGGTGGGTTTGAACCGCCAGCCTTCTGGTGAGCAGTCAAGTGCCTTAGGCACTATGCTACCAGAGCCCTTCCCCTGTGTGTATCCATGTTCTTTTATAACTCAGAAGCAATCAGGTTTAAAACCTACTCTGTGACCTATGACCTTATTTACACAACAAAAGAAAACCATTATTTAAAAAAAAATTGCTGTCAAGGTGATTCTAACTCATGGCAACCCGTCATGTTGTTACAGAGTACAACTGCTCTATAGGTTAGTAACCTTGAGATTAGTAGTTGAGTATAAACTGTTTGTGCCACCCAGGGACCTCCTATTTCCAAACAGGGTCATGTTTACAGGTACCCATAAAAACCCATTGCTGTCGAGTCAGTTCTGACTCATAATGACCGTATAGGACTAATACAAGTGCCCCATAGGATTTCTTTCTTTCTAAAAAACTTTTTATTGTGATTTGGATGAAATTTTACAAAGCAGATTTGTTTTACATTCAATAGTTCATACACACATTTTGTGATACTAGTTACATTCCCCCAGTGTAACATCTCACTTCCCACTTTCTTCCTGTGGTTACCCTTTGCCTGTATCCTTGCCTGTGCATTCTTGCCTCCCTACTTTTCTCCCTGTACAAATGCTTCCATTCTGATCTGGTCGATTGTTCTAAGGAGTATATCACCCTGGTGCAGGTATTCAGCTAATAGGCCTGTCTGTTATTTTGCTGAGAGTTAAGCCACAAGAGTGAGGTCAGTTCTAGGCCCAAAGAGTGACTTGAAGCCATAGTCTCAGGGGTTTTACCAGTCTCTATCAAGACCAGTAAGTCTGGTCTTTTTTTTTTTTTAAATGATTTTCAGTTTTATTCCACATTCTTCTCTCAATCTATACGGATCTCCAATTTTGATCTCTTTCTGATCCCTTACCAATGGTTGACACTGGTAGCCAGGCATCATCTAGTTCTTGTGGTCTTTGGGTCATTTAGATTAAGGTTCTCATGGTCCATTAGTCCTTTGCCCCTAGGGTTTCCAAGGCTGTAATCTTTACACAAATAGGTTGCCACATCTTTCTCCTGTAGAGTGGCTGGTGGGTTGGAACTGCTGACCTTTCTGATAGCAGCCAAGTGCTTAATCACTGTGTCACTAGGGCACATTTTGGCAGGAGGACACGATTCAATCCATGACAGATGCCTATTGCAATTCCAAATTCCCAGGACTTTTGGCCTCAGTCCACATGGATCTGTCTACCTGTGGATGTGTAGCCCTTGACTCCAGTGCCCAACCTGGCACAAGAAGCTGTACAAAATATGGCCATGGCCCATCAGCCTGGCCTAGGGCAGTGGTTCTCAAAGTGTGGTCTGTGACCAGTATCACCTAGGACCTTGCAAGAAATGCAGATTCTTGTACCCCACCCTAGTTTTATTGATTCAGAAACTCTAGGAGCAGGGCCCAGTAATCTTTAGCAAACCCTGCAAGTGATTCTGGTGCATACTACAGTTTGAGTACTCTTGGTCTAAAGGTGGGGGATGAGTTGACTCACAGGGCGTCTGTTTGACCTTCCAGAATCCCTCCCTACCTGTCATTGTGAGGTGTGAGTGATATAATATGGTGTTAAAATAATGACAATGTCATTTATTGGGAACTCATTATGTGCTAAGCATTTCACGTACTTAATCTCACTTCATCTTCCAAACAACCCCGTGTTGTTTTTGTTAGTTGTTGTTGAGTTGATTCCAACTCATGACCCCATGTGTGCAGAATAGAACTGTTCCATAGGGTTTTTAAGGCTGTAATCTTTTCTTTTTCTAATGTGATTTGGGTGAAAGTTTACAGAGCTAATTCATTTTCCATACAGCAGTTCATACACATTTTGTCTCATGATGTTGAACTGCAATTCCCCACATTGTAGCAGCTCTCTGCCCACTTACTCTTTGTAGTTACCTCTTCCTGTGTCCTTCCCTCCCATGCACTCCTGCCCCCTGAGCTATCTCCCTGAAAGCTGTAATCTTTTGTAAGCAGATCACCAAGCTTGCCTTCTGAGGTATCTCTGGGTAGGTTCAGCCTACCAACTTTTTGACTAGTAGCCAAGCATTTAATTGTTTGCACCACCCAGAGACTCCAAACATCCTCATGAGGCAGATGTTATTCTTGTTTTTCAGGCAAGTAAAACTAAGGCTTATAGAGGTGAAGAGACATGCCAGGTTCTCCAATGCATAAATAGCAGAGACAAGATTTGAATCTGAGTCTGAGGACTATGCAGCCCTAAGCATTTAGCCAGCATGCTGTGCCAGCTCCTAGTTTGGCATCCTGTGGCTGTGGTCATCATTGGGCTGTGAAGCAGTTGTTGTCTCCTTATGATAGCCCGACCATGCCCACAGCCCAAATACCTTGTCTTGAATCCTTGCTTCTGGAGGACTCTAAGATCCTGCCCAAATCCCTGGGGCCCAGGAGCTGCTTGGTAATCCTCTGCCTTCTCTGCCCAGATTCATGGCTACCAGTGACCTGATGTCAGAGCTGCAGAAAGACTCCATCCAGCTGGATGAGGACAGTGAGCGCAAGGTGGTAAAGATGCTGCTCAGGCTTCTGGAAGACAAGAATGGGGAGGTGCAGAACCTGGCTGTCAAGTGGTAAGTGTCAACCTGGGGAACTGCCTGCTGTGGGAGTATCCCTGCCTCCTTAGGGTACAGCCTTTGAGAAAAGAGTTGCTGAGCAGCTCTTGGGACCCCAGTGGAACTGGACAGTGCCTTAGTCTGGGTCCCCACAGAAGCAGACCCCAAACCAAGGATTCAAGTGTAAGTTTATGTGGGATGTGATCCCAGGAAATAGTGGTAGGGGAGCAGGGAAATGTGACAGGGAAGGGAAGCAATCAAGCAAGTTAACACTGTGGGCAACTGGAGCACAGTACTGCCTGGGACCTCTGGGAGCGAGTGTAAAGCACACATCTTGGATTTTTCCCACTTGAAAGACAAGGGAGCTGGGGTATTAATTCACCAGCTCTCTAGTCGTTGGTTGAGGGCTGTTCCTGGGGTAGGGTGGAAGGTTATTAATTCCCTGATTCTTCTAGCCAAAGAAAGCACTCAGGCAGAGATGTAGGTGCTAGCGGTTGGAAGTCAAGCTGGCATGCACCAAAGTGGTAAGGGCTGAAGGGACATGGTGGGGCTCTGGCACCTTCTGCCCTAGGCATTGTGAATTGTAGTCCTGAAACCTTGGCCAGTTGCCTCAGGAGCAGAAAAAGCAAGACAGTATGTGTGTGTGTAGGGCATGTGTGTACATGTGTGGAGGGGTGGGTACAGCACTGAGGAATGGCAGGTGGTTCTGGCAGGGTTAAGGGATCAACAGGATGAATGAAAATTTGGGTACAACCCCTATGAGCTGGGCCCAGGCATTCTTCTGCACCGTTTTAATGAAACCCCACTTGATCCCAAGAAGAGAGGGAATTCATTGAAAGGATTTTTTTAATATATACAAAACAGGGCATGGTTGGGTTTGTGGTCTGGGGAGCATCTCTCGCTGGCTGTGGAGTGGAGATGGGGTGGAGGAGTGGTTTCCCACTAGCAGAACCAGTACCCCCTTTTTATGACAAGGAGTTTATAATACCCCTGTTCTTGAAATTTCATGAAATGAAATTTATAGATAAGATAACCATGTGATTTTGAAAGAGGTATACATAATACCCTAAACTATAATCTAAAGGAGAAATAGAAAGGCATTTTTAATAATAAAGCATGCTACAATATGTAAATGCATGGACATGTTGACAGTGCAGTAGAAGTGACAATGAAGTCATCAGAACCCTGGACCTAAGTGTAGAATTGTCATGGATGCCACAGTAGTAAGCAGACATGGACACAGGTGTTGTGTATTGGGGACTCAGAGACACTACAAGAGGTGTTGCTCTTAGTGAGGACATTTTCTGAAATGGTGAACAATGGGTAAAGTTGCCCAGTAAACAAAGTGCAGTCTTCCTCAACTGACCCAATAATTGCATTCTCAGAAAATTCAGTGTATATTGAAACAGAGCAAAAGTACTTTGTGTTTATATATAAAATGAAATTAGGGTTTAGACTCAGTTAATTATAGAAAGGTTTTTTGGTTTTGTTTTTATATAAATGTCCAGGGGAGTGTCTTGCAGGACATGATGCAATGTTTTGTTTTGCAGTCTTGTCTTTCTAAATTCCCTGGCCACTCCCCCTCCTCAAAAACAGGCTGGAATTACAACTTATTAGTTACGATGACCAAAACAAGGCCCTCACAAATTTCCAAAATGCCTCTGGAGGCATCACTGATATTGGCAACCAATTGTTTTGGTCCTCTAGTGCTGCTCTAACAGAAAATACCACAAATAGGTGGCTTTAACAAACGGGGATTTATTCTCTGATTGTGTAGGAGGCTAGAAGTCTGAGTTCAGAGTGCCAGCTCAAGGGGCTAGGTGAAAGCCCTTCGACCTTGAGCTTCAGCTCTGTCTCTTGCTCTTGGCCCTCTGGAGCTGGAGGTGTCTGTCTCTTCACTCAGGCAGCTACTGATAGCTGAAGCTGACAAACCCAAGATCGACAAGTAAAATGGCACAGTCCCAAAACTATAAAACCACATGGGAGGCCATTAATTCAAGTCCATTAACAGTCCCAATAATGGGAGACAGGCTATTGAACAACATTCAACTACATGCAGGATTTAAGCATGCCAAAAGCTAGAGACCTTCCTCAAAGCTGCTGCTTATATACTGGAGGCAGACGACATCCCTAAACTGCTTCACTAGACCCCACCATGGAGTTGATTACCAGTCTCATCATCGGGAATAACTTCATCCAGCTGATCCAGCTGCCCAGCCACTCAACCAGGCCCACACAACTCAACTACCACACCAATGATATAGCAGGTAGAATGAGAGGACTTCGTGATTGCTTAGATGGAGGAGTTGATAGAGAAAGAAGTGGAGAGAGTCAAGTTTTGTAAACTTTGGTGTACACTAGAATTACCTGAGGCCCTTGTTAAAACTATGTATTCCCCACCTAACCCTCAGAGGTTCAGATTCAGGAGATTAGGGGGCTGGAGGGAGCAGAGAGAAAGAGAATGAAGGCACAGGTGATAGCAGTGCACAACTAAGGTTGAGAACCAGTGAGTCTAGTGCAGCCCTTTTTAAACTAAGTGTGTATTCAAATCACAGATTCTGGTTCAATACAGGATCTCTAAGGAGCTCTGGTTGTATAGTGCTTAAGGCATTTGGCTGCTAATTATAAATGTTGGTGGTTTGAATCCACCAGCTGCTCTGCAGAAGAAAGATGGGGCAGTCTGGTTCTGTAAAGATTTATAGCCTTGGAAACCCAGTGGGGACTGCTATGAATTGGAATTGACTTGATGGCAGTGAGTTTGATTTGGTTTTTGAGAGGATCTCTGGTGGCATAGTGTTTAAAGTATTTCAGCTGCTAACCAAAAGATTGGCAGTTTGAGCCCACCAGCTGCTTCATGGGAGAAAGCTGAGGCATTCTGCTTCCGAAAAGATTTATAGTCTTGGAAACCTCATGGGACAGTTCTACTCTGTCCTGAAGGGTTGCTATAGTCAGAATCAACTTGATGGCAGTGGTTTTGGTTTTGGTTTTGATTCAGTAGGTCTGGTGTAGGACCTGAGAGTTTGCATTTCTAACTAGGTCCCAGATGCTGCTGACGATGCCAATCTAAGACCACATTCGGGGCAAATGCTCTCAAAGTGCCATCCGTGGGCCAGCAGCATCAGCATCATGTGGGAACTTATTAGAAGTGCAGATTATTGGGTTCCACTCAGACCTCCTCAGTCTGAAACTCTGGGAGTAGTGCCTCACAATCTGTTTTTATTAAGCCCTCCAGATAATTTTGATGCATGCTCAAGTTTGAGAACCACTGCTCTTGGACAACCCTTGGTTTCCAACTGAGGTTATTGGGTTTTATGGTTTGGCTACATACTGAGATGCAGGTTTAGGAGGTGCCAGGGCCAATGCTGGCATAAACAGAGGGTGCCTCTCTTTCTGGCAAAGCAGGGTGTCCCCTGTTGATCCAGGGCCTTTTCCTCAGCCTATGTGGCCCTTTGAGTATGAGGAGACAGGCTTATTTAGGCTGAGCCTGGGGCTTCTCCCCTATCTCTGCTCAGCCTGGGTCCTCTTGTGGGCAAAGTGAAGGAGTACCAGGTGGAGACCATCGTGGATGCCCTCTGTGCCAACATGCGGTCAGACAAGGAGCAGCTTCGAGACATCGCTGGCATTGGCCTCAAGACGGTCCTTTCAGAACTCCCGCCTGCAGCCACAGGTACCCAACAATCCAGAACCCAGGTGCTAGGGACTAAGTACCATTATTAATCATCCCAGTTTACAGATGAGGAAACTGAGGGTCTAAGAGTGAAGGGACTTAACTAAAGTAACTCATCTAACAAGTGGCAGAGATAGAATTTAGATTCATATCTCTTTAAGCCCATGGCTGTGTGTCAGGAATGCTTTTAGCTGCAAATAACAGAAAAATCTAATTAATAGCAGCTTAAAGAAGTAGGAGATCTTTTTCTTACTTGGTAAGTCTGGAGGCATCAGCTGCTCAATTTTTGCAACAATTTATTTAGTAGCTCAGTTATGACAGGGTTGAGATCTCTGCTCCTGGTTCTCCCTATTATAAGAAAAGCACAAGTTTTCCCAGAAGCCCGCAGAAAAGGTTACTTGTAATCTCACTGGCCAGAACTGGGTCACTTGACCACTTCTAGCAGCAGGGGTGGCTGGGAAAGCAAGTATTTGACTTTTCTGTGGGCATGGAAGTGGGGGTTGAGGATGGGGTTGGCAAGCCCACCAGGTCTGCCATCAGTTCTCAGCTCCTTTAGCCCTCTCCTTTAATTTTATCTGAATCTGAGTCAAACCTTGGACCATTCAGGCCCTGGCTTCCCTAGATTAACAAGACACTTGGGGACATGGGCTCAGGAGCACAACCAGAGCAAAGGCAGACCAGAGGTGGAAGCCCATCTTTCCCAACCCTGGGCCTCACTGAGCCCACCTTGTACCCTAATGTATAGGCTCTGGCTTGGCCACAAACGTGTGCCGCAAGATTACAGGCCAGCTCACCAGTGCCATCGCCCAACAGGAGGATGTGGCTGTACAGCTGGAAGCCTTGGACATTCTCTCTGACATGCTGAGCAGGTATGGAGGCCACCCTCAGCAATGAGGATGGAAAGGACGGGTAAGGGGAGTGAGAAGGACTCAGCTCCATGGAGCCAGCAGCACCTATTGAACTGTGCTCCAGGCCCTGTGATTGGGGCTCAATAGTCATTCCAGCAGCCCTGACAAGAAAAATTCAATTGTCACAACTTCACAGGCTCTCAGAGATGAGAAGCTTGCCCTAGGCTACACTGTCAGTAAATGGCAGAACCTAGGATTTGAACTTAGGTCTCTCAGTAGTAAAACCGATGTTTGGTCATCCTTTCTCCATCTCCTTCTTTCTCTCTCTTTCCTCTTTTGGGCTGATATAGCTGGGCTTCTTTTCTAAATTAAGGTCCCCGGGTGTTGCTCTGGTGGTGTGGTATCTGACTGCTAACTAGGAGGTTGGTGGTTCAAATCCACCATCCATTCCACGGAAGGAAGATGAGGCAATCTACTTCCATAAGGATTTACCACCTTGGAAATCCAATGTGGGTCACTATGAGTCAGAATCGACTTGATGGCAGTGGGTTTTTTGTTTGTTTTGTTTTGGTTCAGGTATTACAATAGTTTGCCCTTAACTACTAACCTAAAGGTTGGCAGTTTGAACCCACCCAGTGGTGCCACAAAAGAAAGCCCTAGCAGTTTGCTTCCCTAAAGATTATAGACTCTGGTAGCATAGTGCCTAAGGCACTTGACTGCTAACCAGAAGGCTGGCGGTTCAAACCCACCAGCCACTCCTCGGAAGGAAGGTTGGGCAATCTGCTTTCATAGTGATACTGACTCAGAAACCCAAGGAGGGGTTGCTGTGAGTCGAGTCCGACTCAACAGCACATAACAGCAACAACAACAAAGATTATAGCCAAGGAAACCCTAAAGAGCAGTTCTACCCTGTAACCAGTAGGGTTGCTGTGAGTCAGAGTTGACTGGATGGCACCTGGTTTGGGTTTTTGTTTTCTGTTTTAAATCACACTATGCTTATTTATTTATTTATTTTACATTTTTAATCGTTAAGACTAGGTAAGAAATTTCTAATCACAAACCTCAATTTAGCATCCAAACTGGACAGATTTCCTTCCCCAAGTGGTTTATATAGATTATCAACATCATTACCATAATTATCAAAACAGAATGCGCTCCCCATATTCTAGAACGTTTACAGACTAATTGGGAAACAAATCTATGATATTACACCAGACAGAGCAATATAACCACAAGTACACTGCATATTTTTATTCATTTACTCATTCATTCATCCACCCTCCTGAGACTTAGGCACCTACTCAGTGACTAGATACCTGTCAGGTGTGAACTACTGCTGAGCATTGGATAGGAGCCTATGAAGGGGCTCACAGTCAAAAAAAATTATAAAACTATGTAGTAAGTACAACAATAAGCAGGGCCTGCAGGAGCTTAGAGAAGGGGCCCCTAACCCAATTAGGGGACAGGGAACCTTCCTAGAGAGGGTCCTGCTAGACCTGAGCCTTTGATAATAGGGAGACTTAGCCAGGTTTGGTAGGCATAAGGGGGATGCTGGAGAAGAACTCTCCTAACAGGGTAGAAGCAGGAGAGCATGAGTGGTCCTGGGGGTCCTGCAAGGCAGTCGTGGAGCTGCAGTGTTAAGTGAGGGGGTTGGTGTAGAGAAATGAGAGTGGAAGGCTGGGCAGGAGCCATTGAGGAGGCACTAAAGATTATCCTGAAGGTGTGAGGAGCCAGTGGAGGGTTTTTTGTCAGGGGCTGAGGAGCTTTGTGCACATAATTATGTGATCTTTCCATCTGCAACATGGACAACAGGTGGGAGGGGGTTGGATGGGCAGGGGGATTGGTTAGGAGGCTTCTGAAGGCAGGTAAATTCAGGTCATATTTAGAAGCTAGGCTTCACAGGACTTGGAGCAGTAAGAAAGGTTAAAAAAAACAAAACAAAACTCATTGCCATCTAGTTGACTCATAGCGACCCCTCCTTGGGTTTCTGAGATTAACATAACATAATCTACGGAAGTAGATTGCCCAACCTTCCTTCCGAGGAGTGGCTGGTAATTTGAACCACCAGCCTTCTGGTTAGCAGTCAAATGCCTTAGGCACTATTCCACCAGAGCTGGATAACACCGGAACCCACCTTTAGTAACAAAGGGGACACACAGAGGTGCCACTGGCTGTGGTGAGGTACTGCAGGAGGATTGTGTAGGGAGGAAGGTGATGGGTTCAGTTTAGGCATGTTAACTTTGAGATGCCTGCCTGGGAAGCATTCCTCTGGCAAGGCCTAGGGCCTGAGTCTGTCTTGCTCAACCTAGCTTCCAGCACAGGCTCTGTCACATGTTGTTGTTGTTGTTGTTGTTATATGCCGTCGAGTAGCGACCCCTCTTTGGGTTTCTGAGGCAGTATCACGACAGAAGTAGACTGCCCCATCTTCCTTCCGAGGAGTGGCTGGCACATAGTAGGTAAATAAATAAATGAAACCAGCAGCAAGGTCTGCTGGACATAGAGCTGTAGAAGGGGGAGGTCAGTGAGATTATGTGGAGGGAGGAAAGGACTCAGGACATTGAGGTGGCAGAAAATGCATGGCCTGGTTTGGAAGATGACAAGTTGCTGAGGCAGACAGGGTGCTACATTATATCTGTGTAGAAACCACTCCTCAGTGTCACCTTGAACGCAGAGCTCAGCTTATCCAGAGGGACTGGGGAGCCATGGAAGGAGTTAACCAAAGGCGGGACTAGGTAAAGGTAGATTTTAGATCAACCTGGCCCCAGAGAGGATGGAGGGCCATGAGGCAAGGCTCAGACTCCCAGAGGAGACCTCCACTCCCACTCACCATCACCATCCACCGTTTTCTTGAGGCTAGGCGCTTGGATACCTAGGTGCAAAGCCTGGTCTTGCATTTCATGGCTGAGTGGACTGGAGGAAGTCCCTGCAGCTCTCTTTCTGCTTTTCTCTTATGTAGTAGTGGTAATAATTGTTCCTCACAGTTGTAGGGCACCTTTCAGTTTTCCAAAGGCTATCAGTTGTCATAACTCTGGGGAGAAGGCTGGGAGAGGACGAGTGGAAGCCAGTGTGGGTGGCCACCCTCACGTTCCCTCTCCTGCGGCTTCCACAGGCTGGGCGCCCCCCTGGGCGCCTTCCACGCCAGCCTCCTGCACTGCCTGTTGCCTCAGCTGAGCAGCCCGCGCCTGGCGGTGCGCAAGCGAGCCGTCGGGGCGCTCGGTCATCTGGCGGCCGCCTGCAACACCGACCTTTTCATCGAGCTCGCCGACCACCTGCTGGACCGACTGCCCGGCCCACGCGCACCTGCCAGCCCCGCCGCTATCCGCACCCTGATACAGTGTCTAGGCAGCATAGGCCGGCAGGCCGGCCACCGCCTCGGTAAGACAGCAAGAGAGCCGGGCTTTAGGCAAGAGGCGGGAAGGGCCGAGAGTAGGGGCGGGCCACCTTACAAAGGGGGTGTGTCTGAGGAGGGGTTTGGAGCGGGCGTGGGGGGTGGGGGCTGTTTTAATGGTTTGGAAGAAGGGGTGGGGGCTGTTTTAATGGTTTGGAAGAAGGAAGGTGGAATGTCAAAAGGATTTAGAGGGGTGAGGCTGTGGGTGGGGCGAGGCTTGAGAGGCCCGGGGTGGACCCTGAGCTCGCTTTGTGGTACTGCCCTCAGCACCTGCTAAGTGCAAGACCCTGAGGGGAAGAGGTTTGGTTTAGTCACTTCTGGACCCACCTACCTACCCACAGGCTCATGAGTAATTAGAAGCAGTATAATAAATCATGCCACCAAATTATTAAATATGTTCTATCTTCATACTAGGGAGTTCTGGTGGCATAGTGCCTAAGGCACTTGACTGCTAACCAAAAGCCTGGTGGTTCAAAGCCACCAGCCAATCCTCGGAAAGAAGATTGGTCAGTCTATTTCCGTAGTGATACAGCCTCGGAAACCCAAGGAGGGGTCGCTGTGAGTCAGATCCACTTGACAGCAGGGAGTTTGGTTTGGATCCTCATACTAAATAGGAGCTCTGATGGCATAGTGCTTAAGGCATTTGACTGCTAACAAGAAGGTTGGCCGTTCATACCCACCAGACACTCCACAGAAGGAAGACCGGGCAATCTACTTCCATAAAGATTTACCGCCTGGGAAACCCAATGGGAGTTCCTTTGAGTCGGAACCACTCTCTAGCAGTGGGTTTGGTTTTTGTTTTGTTAAGACTCGTATTTAGCAAGTATATCTTAATAAGATCCCATAAGCCCTTAGAATTTTTAAAGCAACTTTGTTGTGTTGTTATTAGGTGCTGTCGAGTTGTCTCCGACCCATAGTGACCCTGTGTACAACAGAACAAAACACTGCCCTGTCCTGTGCTAGCCTCACAATCCTTGCTGTATCTGAGCCCATTGTTGCAGCCACTATGTCAATCCATCTCCTTGAGGGCCTTCCTCTTTTTTGTTGACCCTCCACTTTACTAAGCATGATATCCTTCTCCAAGGAATGGTTCCTTCTGACAACATGACCAAACTAGTTGAGATGAAGTTTGGCCATTCTCGCTTCCAAGGAGCATTCCAGTTGCCTTTCTTCCAGGACAGATTTGTTAGTTCTTTTGGCAATCCATGGTACCTTCAGTATTCTTTGCCAGCACCACAACTCAAAAGCATCAACTCTTCCGTCTTCCTTATTCATTGTCCAGCTCTCACATGTGTATGAGGAGATTGAAAATACCATGGCTTGGGTTACGTGCACCTTAGTCTTCAAAGAGAAATCTCTGTTCTTCAGCACTAAAAGAGGTCTTTTGCAGCAAATTTGCCCAGTGAGCTGAAATGGACTATACATCATCTGATTTCTTGACTGCTGCTTCCATTGGTGTTCATTGTGGAACCAAGTAATATGAAATCTTTGACAACTTCAATCTTTTCTCCATTTATTGTGAGGATTTTCATTTTCTTTATATTTAGATGTAATCCATACTGCAGACTGTGTCTATAATCTTCACCAGTATGAGCTTCAAGTTATCCTTACTTTCAGAAAGCAAAGTTATGTCATCTGCATATCATAAGTTGTTAATGAGTCTTCCTCCAATCCTGATGCTGTGTTCTTCTTCATATAGTCCAGCCTCTTGGATTATTTGCTCAGCATACAGATTGAATAAGTAGGATGAAAGGATACAACCCTGACACACTCCCTTCCTGATTTTAAACCATGCAGTATCCCCTTGTTCTGTTCGAACGACAGCCTCCTAGTCTATGTACAGATTCCTCATGAGTACAAGTAAATGTTCTGGAATTCCCATTCTTCTCAGTGTTATCCATAATTTGTTATGATCCACACAATTGAATGCTTTTGCATAGTCAGTAAAGCACAAGTAAACATCTTTCTGATATTCTTTGCTTTCAGCTAAGATCCAGCTAACATTAGCAATGATATCCCTCATTCTATATCCTCTTCTGAATCCATCTTGCATTTCTGGAAGTTCTCTGTCAATACACTGCTGCAACTGTTTTTTAATTATCTTCAGCAAGATTTTACTTGTGTGTGATATTAATGATATTGTTTGATAATTTCCACATTCTGTTGGATTACTTTTCTTTGGAATGGGTACAGATAAGCATCTCTTCCAGTCAGTTGGCCAGGTAGCTGTCTTCCCAATTTCTTGGCACAGATAAGTGAGTGCCTCCAGTGCAGCAACCATTAGTTGAAACATCTCAATGGGTATTCCGTCAATTTCTGGAGCCTTGTTCTTCGCAAGTTCCTTCAGTGCAGTTTCAACTTCTTCCTTCAATACCATTTGTTCTTGATCATATGCCACCTCCTGAAATGGATGGACATTGACCAGTTCTTTTAGGTACAGTGACTCTTTTGTATTCCTTCCATCTTCTATTGATGTTTCCTGCATCATTCAATATTTTGCCCATAGAATCTTTCAGTATTGCAACTCGAGGCTTGAATTTTTTCTTCAGTTCTTACAGCTTGAGAAATGCTGAGTATGTTCTTCCCTTTTGGTTTTCTAACTCCAGATCTTTGCACATTTCATTATAGTAATTGCCTTTGTCTTCTTGAGCTGCTCTTTGAAATCTTCTGTTCAGCTCTTTTATCCTGTCATTTCTTCCATTTGCTTTATCTACTCTCTGTTCAAGGGCAAGTTTCAGAGCCTCTTCTGACATCCGTTCTGATCTTTTCTTCCTTTCCTGTCTCTTTAATGACCTTTTGCTTTCTTCATGGATGATATTCTTGATGTCATCCCATAATTCCTCTGATTTTCGGTCATTGGTGTTCAGTGAATCAAATCTATTCTTTAGATGGTCTCTAAATTCAGGTGGGAAATAAGCAAGGCCATATTTTGGCTCTCGTAGACTTGTTTTACTTGTCTTCAGCTTCAACTTGAACTTATGTATAAGCAGTTGATGGTTCCATAGTCAGCTCCTGGCTTTGTTTTGGCTGAAGATACTGAGCTTTTCCATCACTTCTTGCCACAGATGTAGTTGAACTGATTCCTGTGTACTCCATCTGGTGAAGTCCATATGTAAAGCTGCTGTTTATGTTGTTGAAAAAATGTATTTGCAATGAATAAGTTGTTGGTCTTGCAAAATTTTATTATACAATCTCCAGCATTATTTCTATCACCAAGGCCATATTTTCCAACTACTGGTGATTCTTCTTTACTTCCAATTTTTGCATTCTAATCACCAGTGATAATCAGCACATCTTGATTGCCAAACCAAAAAACCAAACTCAGTGTTGTTGAGTCAGTTAGACTCAGTAACCCCTCCTTGGCTTTCAGAGGTGGCATGTTCAGTCAATTTCAGAGAGCAGAAGTTGGTAAAAATCTCCAATTTCCTCATCTTTGGCTTTGGTGGTTGGTGGATAAATTTGAATAATAGTAATATTAACTGGTTTTCTTTGTTAGCTGTATAGATACTGTCCTATCACTGACAGCATTGTACTTCAGCATAGATCTTGAAACATTTTTTATAGCAATGAATGCCACGCCATTCCTCTTTAATTTGTCATTCTGGCTTAGTAGATCATATTGTTGTCTGATTCAGAATGGCCAAAACCAGTCCATTTCAGCTCACTAATGCCTAGGTATCAATCTTTATGCATTTCATTTCATTTTTGACAACTTCCAATTTTCCTAGATTCATACTTTGTCCATTCCATGTTCCAAATATTAATGGATGTTTGCAGCTATTTCTTCTCATTTTGAGTTATGCCACATCAGCAAATAGAGGTCCTGAAAGCTTTACTCCATCCACATCATTAAGGTCAGCTCTCCTCTGAGGAGGCACCTCTTCCCCAGTTGTATTATAAGTGCCTTCCAATCTGAAGGGCTCATTATCCAGCACTATGTCAGACAGTGTTTCAGGGCTATTCATAAAGTTTTCCTATAATATATCAGACAGTGTTCCAGTGCTATTCATAAGGTTTTCACTGGCTAATTCTTTGAGAAGTGGATGGCCTCTTCCTTCTGATTCTGTCTTAGTCTGGAAGCTCCACTGAAACCTGTCCACCATGGGTGACCCTGCTGGTATTTGATATACCAGTAGCATAGCCTGTGGCCTCACAGCAACACCCAAGCCGCCACAGTAGGACAGACTGACAGATGAGTGGTGGTTAAGCAACTTTATTGGGTAGTAATTTACAAACAATAAGCTGTACTATTTAAAGTATACAATTCAGTGTGTTTTAATCTTTGCATACACCCGTGAAACTACCAGCACAACCACGATCAGAACAATTTCATCACCCCAAAAACTTTCCTTATGCCCCTTTGCAATCCATTCTTTCTCCCCCTGCCCACTCACCCCCAATTACTATACTGCTGCCTGTCACTATACATTAGTTTTCATTTTCAAAGGTTTGATATAAATGGAATCACACAGTCAGGTTTGAATTATTCTCAGACATTTTGGAGTTCCAGGCTAAAACATGGCAGTGTGGATAGAGTAGATCTACAGTCTGTCCTCATCCTCTCCCCACACCCAAGCTCTCTCCCTCTCCGCAAGGGGTTTTGCAAGCACCTGTTTGGACACCCACATTGTTTCCACATCCCCCTCAGACAGCAGCCACCCCTTGCCCACCCTCAGGAGCATGGACCCAGGAAAAAGGCCTCTGTAGAACCTGGACAAGGGCTCAAGGCTGATTGGGCAGGAAACTTTGGGGTCCCACATATCCAAAATTGAGTCTCGAAGGGGGTTTTGGGGTTCCAGGTCAGCATGTCCCTTGACCCTGAATATTTTTACACTGGGATGGAACTGGGATGGATGGAAAAGGACTAGGACAGGTCCTTCTAATGCACAAGATCAGTCACACAGGACTTGCTTGATCTCAGGATTGTACTGCTTTCTCTCTCATCTAGGATCTTACAACCTAGGGCAGGAAATAAGGCAAAGATCTATTATGTGCCAGAACCCAGGCTAAGCGCTAGTAATGATACTATTGTATCATTAATATTCATGAACTCTCTGCCTAATGTTCTCACTGGGAAGAGGAGCAGATTGAGGCTCAGAGGCCCCAGAGCTCATAGATGACAAAGTCCAGGCTAGAACCCACATCTGCTTGACTCTGAAGCCTCTGGTGAGGGTTTGCAAATGGTTAAAGCTGCAGGTTCAGAACAGGCTGAGGGAACCTTGTGGACTATGTCCTCCTGTTGGCTCTGCAGGTGACCACCTGGACCGCCTGGTGCCCTTGGTGGAAGAACTCTGCAACGTGGATGATGACGAGCTCCGAGAGTCCTGCCTCCAGGCCTTTGAGGCCTTTCTGAGGAAGTAAGTGCAGTGCAGCATCAGAAATGAGGCTGGGGGTGGTGGTGGGGGTTGTTTCATGGGAAATGGTGAGGGCGGGGCAGGGCACTGGTCTCAAAGCATTGAGACCCCCGGGGTCACCACTGGGCCCCACCCTCGGCCTGTCCCACCCGGGCCTACTGGAGCCTCTCCCATTCCACTCACAGGTGCCCCAAGGAGATGGGCCCTCATGTGCCCAAGATCACCAGCCTCTGCCTCCAGTACGTGAAGCATGACCCCAACTATAACTACGACAGTGATGGGGACGAGGAGCAGATGGAGACAGAGGACAGTGAATTCAGTGAGCAAGGTGTGTGGCCAGCTGTTACTGGGGCTAGCGGTAGAGGTGGGCACAGCTTTTCCAGAGGCTTCCCAGCTCTGCTTTCCCACCCAGCCAAAGATAAGGGCCATGTTTGGTGCCTTCATCCTGCTCCCATCTCTTCCTCATGTTTTAGCCCTGCCCTCAGAAATCCAGAGCCCCCAGGGTCCCCACCATCTCAAACTGCACTGACAACAACACCAATAGTAGTAATTAAAAAAAAAAAAAAAGTTGCCATCAAGTCACTTCCAATTCATGGCAATCCCATGTGTGTCAGGGTAGAAGTGTGCTCCATAGGGTTTTCAGTGACTGATTTTTTAGAGGTAGATCATAGGCTTTTCTTTGGAGATGCCTCTGGGTGGACTTGAACCTCCAACCTTTTGGTTATTAGCTATTAACTGCACCACCCATGGACTCTGTCATTTACTGAACCACTATTGGTGGTCTAGTTTCCCTGTTGTTGTTGCTGTTGTTGTTAGCGCCGTCGAGTCAGACCCGACCTTCCTTTCGAGGAGTAGCTGGTTCAAACCCACCAGCCACTCCTCAGAAGGAAGGTTGGGCAATCTACTTCCGTAGTGATACTGCCTCAGAAACCCAAGGAAGGATCGCTATGAGCTAGTTTCCCTAGTGGTACAATTTTCACTCTACTACTAACCTATAGCTTGGTGGTTTGAACCAACCCAGCAGCACCATGAAAGAAAAAGCCTGGTGATCTGCTTCTGTAAAGATTTCAACCAAGGAAACCCTGTGGAGTAGTTCTGCACCACATGGAGGGGTGCCATGAGTCAGAATCAACTCAATGACTATGGGTTTGGTTTGGTTTGGTTTGGGTACAGGTGTTTTGAGCACTCTTATTTCATATTCCTCACGGTTAGCCTTAAAAAAGAGAGGACACTTGTCTGAGATGACATAACTAGGAAGTGGCATAGCTAGGACTTGGAGCCATGTCTGTCACACTCTCCCATCCTGTGCTGCCATGTCTGTACCATTTTTCCTTTTCTGTGTGATGAAATGCATACAACGAAACATTTACCATTTCAACCATTTTCATATGTACAATCAGTAGCATTACCTACATTCACCCTGTTGTACAACCATCACCACTATCCATTTCCAAATTTTTTCATCACTTTTAAACAGTTAAGTCCCCATTTCCCCTTCCCACCCACCCCTGATAACCACTAATAAACTTTGGTCTCTTATATTTGCCTGTTCTAGCTATTTCATGTAAGTAGGGTTATGCAATGTTTGTCCTTCTGTGGCTGACTTGTTTTACTCAGCATAATGTTTTCTGGGTTCATCAATGTTGTAACATGTGTCAGGACTTCATTTTTGTTTATAGCCAGGTAGTGTTCTGTTGTGTGCATTTACTACAATTTGTTCATCCATTCATTTTGTTGATGGAGAGTTGGGTTATTTCTACCTTTTGCCTATTGTGAATAGTGTTACAATGAATGTTGATGTACAACTATCTGTTTTTTTGGTTGTATATATGCAGGAATGGACTGTACTGTTTTATTAATGGCCTTCAAGAGACAGTGCCTTAACCCAGCAGAGTGATGCTCTGATGGTGAAATGATAGGCACTGACAGGGGAGAGAGAAATTGTGATGGAGGTCTGATTCAATGGCTATCTTCCTTCTGTGCTTGTAGCCCTGCCCATCACTCACAAGGATTTCCAGGGTAAAGATGTTCCTGGGTCCTAGAGGCAGGATACAGATGGAGGCGAGTGACTTAGGGCCTGATGGGTATTCCCAATGAGACAGAGTGGTAGGCGATGAGACTGGACAGGCATGCTGATACCTTGAATGCCAAACCAGGGAGCTTGGATGTTTTCTTGTCAGTAGTAGGGAACTATGGATATTTCTTCATGGGTGGCATAGGGTGGATGTACCAGATAATGGTCCAACAGAGGAGATATTTGCTGAGCTGACCAATGGACAGGACAATCCATGGGACCACCCATGGGTCCATCGTGGCTTGTTCAGGCCCAGGTTTGCCTGTGAGAGTCTGAGTTGTCAGCAGAGATACATAGCTGAGGACACACTGGCCTATGCCCTTTGGACCATCTACTCTGAACCTTCTGTGTGTCTTCCCTGGTGACATGGATTGGCCTCTACCCCTTGAATCTCAGCTCTGCTGTTTCCTAGCTGTGTGCCTTTAGGAGATTATCATGCCCTATCTGAGCCTTAACTTTGGTATCTAAAATGGGGTTACACAGCACCCACATTCCTAAGATGGTGGTGAAGACATAAGCTTTTGCCTGTCTGGGGAGCTTGTAGAGTAGAAAGGCACACAAACCCAGCAACTCCTGACTGTTAGTGCTGTGCGGAGGCCAGAATCTGGACCTTTGAGAGGCTAGGACCAGAGGGAAGAGGGGAGGCTTAAGAGAGGCCCTGCCACTTCTTCCTGGAATCCCAGCCAGGGAGCTATTGCATAGCACATCCTGGAATTAAGGATGGGCCTTGTGTCCAAAATGAATTCTTTAAGTCTTCATTGAAGATTTGGAAGTCAGCTTTCACCCCTAGTTAAAAGAGTTAAGGGTTTTGTATTAGTTTCTTAGGGCTGCCATAACAAAGTACTACAAAGCAGGTAGCTTAAAATGACAGGAATTAAATGGGGAACTCAGGGAGGAGGGTGGAAGAGTGATGTTACATTGTGGGATTGCAAACAGTGTCATGTAACAGAATGTGTATAAATGGTTGGAATGGAAAACAAATATGCTCTGTAAACTTTAACCCGAATTACAATTAAAAAAAGAAAAACTTCTGGAAAAAAACCAGAAATATATTGTCTTACAGTTCTGGGGACCAGAAGTCTGAGTGCAGGGTGTTGGTAGGGCTGTGATCTCTCCAAAGGCTCTAGGGGAAGATCCTTTCTTGTCTCTTTGGTAGCCTCAGGCATTTCTTGGCTTGCAGCTACAGCATAACTCCATCTCTATCCCATCTTCACATGGCTGTCCTCTTTCTGCATATATCTGTGTCTCTTCTCTTTTATGAGGACACCACTCCAAATGGATTAGGACCCACCCAACTCCAGTATGACTTCATATTGACTGATAACATTTTCAAAGATCATGTTTCCAAACAAGGCCGTATTCATAGTACTGGGGGATAGGAAAGGAGCTCTGGTGGCGTAGTGCCTGAGGCATTTGACTGCTGACCAGAAGGCTGGCAATTTGAACCCACCAGCCACTCTGGATAAGCCCAACATGAGACTGTTGCAGCAGGCCAGGTGAGATGCAACAGTCCAGGTGATAGGTGATGCTGCCTTGGGCTTGGTGGCAGCAATGGAGACAGAAAGAAGAGATCAGACTTGAGAAGTATTTGGGGGGTGGAATCATCAAGTACCCTGATCTAACTACAGACATTTCCTGCTGGTATAACTTGGGGCAAGCCACTTCCTTCTCTAAGCCTTGGTTTCCTCATCTCTGTAATGGAGAGATAATCATTGTCTTACGAGGTCAATGTGAGGCAAAGGGGGGATTGTGGATTTGAAGTGCTTGGCACCACCCCTAATACGTAATAGGTGCTCATTAGATGGTGACTCATGGTACTTGACTACCTCCCTCCTGCCCCTTCACCCCTCCCTTGAGCTCCAGACCCATCCTTGAGATGACCTTGGTCCCCATCCACTAGAGTGCACAAGGGTCTATGGCTCTTCTGTTCCCTCCTCCAGAGAGCGAGGACGAGTACAGCGATGATGATGACATGAGCTGGAAAGTACGCCGGGCAGCGGCCAAGTGCATTGCAGCGTTGATTGGCTCACGGCCCGACCTGCTGCCTGACTTCCACCGTACCCTGGCGCCTGCACTCATCTGCCGCTTCAAGGAGCGTGAGGAGAACGTCAAGGCCGATGTCTTTGGAGCTTACATTGTGCTGCTTCGGCAAACACGGCCCCCAAAGGGATGGCTGGAGGCCATGGAGGAGCCCACCCAGACAGGCAGCAACCTCCACATACTGCAAGGACAGGTGGGACATGCTTCCACCTGCCTACTCATCTTTTTCCTGTCCCACCTGTTTACTAGTCCATTCCTTTCCCCCTTTTTACACCTGGTCACCCACCCAGCCACCTTCCCCTCCTCCTTTGTCCTTCCCTCAGGGTGTGTATTGAGCACCCACTCCGTGCCCGGTCATGTACTAGATGCTGGGGACACGACAGGGAATGAGACCCTGCCCTCCTGGACCATACAATCTAGAGGGTGCATAGACAACAAACAGGAAAGCTGTTGTATTCTAAGAGCAAGCAGAAGCCACTGGAGGGAAATTATATTCACAAAATCTCACTCTGGCTGCTGCAAGGGGAGTAGATTGTATGTGGGCAAGAGGAATCACTGGGAGCCCAACATGAGACTGTTGGAGCAGGCCAGGTGAGACTCAACAGTCCAGGTGACAGGTGATGCTGCCTTGGGCTTGGTGGCAGCAATGGAGACAGAAAGAAGAGATCAGACTTGAGAAGTGTTTTGGGGGTGGAATCATCAAGTTTTGTTGATAGGTTGGACATGGAGGATGAGGGACAGGGAGGTGTTATGTACTTTGGTTTCTGGCAAAAGCATGAAGTATAGTTACTGAGACAGTGAAGACTGCTTAGGAGGGGAATCTAGAGTTCTGGGAATTTCAGTTTGAGGTCTTTGCTAGATGCCCAAGATGAGATGTGAAGTGGGTAGAGGACAGTCATGTGGGTGGGCGCCTGGTGGAGGTGTAGTTTGGGGGAGTCATTAGCACCTCCAGGATCTCAGGCTCTGGGTGACTGGGATCCTATGGGAAGATGACACAGCAGGAGAGGAGACAGGGTTGCACTGGCCCACTTTCCACTCCCACCCTCCTCCCACACTAGATACCTGTGTGACCTTGACCAAGCTACCAAACCTCTCTGTACCTGTTTCCTGATCTATAAAGTAGATGCATGAATACTGCCTGACTCATGGAATTTAAGGTTCCTGGATGGCACAAATGTTCTGCACTCAGCTGCTGATCTAAAGGTTGGTGGTTTGAACCCACCCAGTGGCACCACAGAAGAAAATCCTATGGAACCCAGTTCTACTCTGTAATACATGGGTTTGCTATGAGTCAGAATCTACTTGATGGCAGTGGGATTGGTTTTCATGGGGTCTAAATGTGGGAGTCAAATGTCAGGCACAGTGGCCTGTGAATGCTTGGGAGGGAGCCCCTCCATGTTGGGGATCTTCCTGAGGAAGAGCCCCCAGTGTTAACATGGGTTAGGGAGGTTTCTTGTGTGGTCCCTGATTGCCCACTTGCCTACAGGTGCCACTTGTGATCAAGGCCCTGCAGCGGCAGCTCAAAGACCGGAGCGTGCGAGCCCGCCAGGGCTGCTTCAGCCTGCTTACTGAGCTGGCAGCTGTCCTCCCTGGCAGCCTAGCAGAGCACATGCCCTTGCTGGTATCAGGTAGGATATACCAGAATCTGGGCCCCAGCCCTGAGATGAACCCCTAGTCCCCAAGGGAGCCCTGGTCACCAGCCTCTGGTGACACCCCACTGAGAGCATAGCTGGGGTGCAGGCCCACTTACCAGTCTCAGATGTATCCTCTACCTTATTTCCCTTGGTTTTAGCCCCAACTCAGCCCTGACCTCTTGGGAACCTCAGTTTAATTCCAGGGGTATCATATTTTAACTCTGATGCTTATGGGTGCTCCATTTCCACATACAGGGAGGGCTGGGAGATATTGGGCCATGGTCGTAACTTCTCCACTCATCCTGGTAGGCATCATCTTCTCACTGGCAGACCGCTCTAATTCCTCCACCATCCGGATGGACGCCCTGGCCTTCTTGCAGGGGCTGCTAGGCACGGAGCCAGCAGAGGCCTTCCACCCACACCTGCCCACTCTGCTACCACCCGTACTGGCATGTGTAGCTGACCCTTTCTATAAGATTGCGGCTGAAGCGCTGCTGGTGCTGCAAGAGCTGGTGCGGGCCTTGTGGCCGTTGAACCAGCCTCGGGTGCTGGACCCTGAGCCATACATCGGAGAGATGTCAGTGGCTACTCTTGCACGGCTCCGTGCCACTGATCTGGACCAGGAGGTAAAGGAACGGGCCATCTCTTGCATGGGCCACCTTGTGGGCCATTTGGGTGACCGGCTTGGAAATGACCTGGAGCCCACATTACTGCTGCTCCTGGACCGCCTGCGGAATGAGATCACCCGGCTGCCCACTGTCAAGGCACTTACTCTGGTTGCCTTGTCACCGCTGCGGCTGGACCTGAAGCCCATCCTAGCTGAGGCGCTGCCCATCCTGGCCTCGTTCCTCCGCAAGAACCAGAGGGCACTGCGGCTTGCTACGTTGGCAGCCCTGGATGCCCTGGTCCAGAGCCAAGGCCTCAGCCTCCCACCACCTGCTATCCAGGCTGTGCTAGCTGAGCTGCCTGCCCTGGTCAGTGAGAGTGACATGCACGTGGCCCAGCTGGCAGTGGACTTCCTGGCCACAGTGACCCAGGCCCAGCCAACCTCTCTGGCCAAGGTCAGCGGCCCCATGCTCTCAGAGCTGCTGAGGTTGCTTCGCTCGCCCCTGCTTCCTGCAAGTGTGCTGGCTGCCGCCGAGGGCTTCCTGCAGGCACTGGTAGGGACCCGGCCCCCATGTGTGGACTACACTGAGCTCATAGACATGCTCACCGCACCCGTGTATGACCAGGATGAGGACAGTGGGCCAGGCCTGCACAAGCAGGTGTTTCATTCATTGGCCCGGTGCGTGGCAGCTCTTGTGGCCGCCTGCCCCCAGCAGGCAGCAGGCACTGCAAGCCGTTTGGTCTGTGATGCCAGGTCACCTGACTCAAGCACTGGGGTCAAGGTTCTGGCATTCTTGTCACTGGCTGAGGTGGGCCAGGTGGCCGGGCCGGGCCCCCAGCGGGAGCTGAAGACAGTGCTCCTGGAAGCCTTGGGGTCACCCAGTGAGGACGTTAGGGCAGCTGCCTCCTATGCGCTGGGTCGTGTGGGCGCCAGCAACTTGCCCGACTTCCTGCCCTTCTTGCTGGGGCAGATCAAAGCAGAGCCGCGGCGGCAGTACTTGCTGCTGCACTCACTCAGGGAGGCTCTGGGGGCCACCCAGCCTGACAGCCTGAAGCCCTACGCAGAGGACATCTGGGCCCTGTTGTTCCAGCGCTGTGAGGGTGCTGAGGAGGGCACCCGGGGTGTCGTGGCCGAGTGCATCGGGAAGCTGGTGCTTGTGAACCCTCCCTTTTTCCTGCCCCGCTTCCGGAAGCAGCTGGCTGCAGGTAAGGGCATGGGTGTGGTGGGTAGTTTGCCTCTGAGTGTCTCAAGTGCCATGCAAAGTAAGTTTTCTAGATTGATTGGATCTGAGAGTCATAGTGTATATGAGGTGAGGCCAAGAGTGATTAGAAATAGTGTGTCCATTCCTTCTACAGAGGATTCTGTGGGATGGAGGAGACATGTCCCTATAACAAATAAACTCAATTTTTATGTCCTCTTTACACCTTGAGGGTCAAGAGCATGATGCTCCAAGTGAAGATTAATAAAATCAGTTCTCTGAGAGGCCTGGAAAAGCAGCCTGCAAGTGGATGGATAGACAGACAGACATAGCTCTCTTGGGCTAGATTGAGCCAAGAGCAAATGTATATCTAGACAGGGGTGTATGACATGCACCTGGGGTTAGAAGAGGATGTGGCAAGAACCCAGAGGATAGGTATTCTTTGTGGTCACATAGGGTTACACCAGAATGTTTGGCAGCTCAGGGAGGTAGAAGGCACACAGGTGGGGTTATGAGCCTCCTGGGAAAAGGAAAAAATCCTGAGAATGAATGGACCCTGATGGGAGGGTCTCAAGCTAATCAGCTGGTCTTTTAATAGGTTTGATGGATGTATTCTATGGTGTGATATAGGTAAAGTGCTTGGAACAATATGTGGCAATTAATACTGGGTTAATTGTTGAGGCCATTATTGGTTACAGTGAAGCCCTTATTGGGCTGCTGGAATTCTAAGGAACAACTCTGTGGCCTCCATCACTATGTGTGCAGCATGACCATTGTTGAGGATATTGGCTACATTACGTGGTGGCTCTTCACAAGGAACCTTGACAGACAGGAGTGTCAGGATAAGGAATAGCCCTGCTTTTCCTAAGCGCTGATTCGCTTCTCTCTCATGTGCATTATGGAACCAGCTAGCTGGTCACATTTCAATTACCACTGGCCCCTGAGTCTCTTGGAGCCAAATTACTGGCCTACTTCTAGAACATTCATGGGATTTCCTTTATAGTGTTCTTGGCATGTCCTTCACTTTTGTCTCCATCTTTCCTGCTCTTATTTTTCTTTGGCCTCATTTTCTTACTTTAAATTCATTCCTCCTATTTGTTGTGCGTATCTTCATTGGCGACTCTAAATCTTAGGAGCCAGTCAGGGGGACGAGAGAAAGAAAGCAAAACATACAAACATGAATTCAGTAACTCTTTCACTCATTCATACCTTAGCACCAAGCTGTAAACATTCTCCTTGAGGCTTATATATAGAGTCCTTGTTGTGGAAACAGCCATGACTCATTCATAGTTGTGTATTGTGCTGGGATAGGGGGAGAGAACAGTTTAGAGAGGAAATTAGGAGACACAGGGCATATAGGAGCTCTGGTAGCATAATGCCTAAGGCACTTGACTGCTAACCAGAAGGCTGGCTTCTGCTAACCAGAAGGTTCAAACCCACCAGCCACTCCTCAGAAGGAAGGTTGGGCAATCTACTTCTGTAGTGATACCGCCTTGGAAACCCACGAAGGGGTTGCTATGAGTCAGGGCCAACTCCACGGTACATAACAACAACAACAATGCAGGGCATATCCTGATTTCTTTCTTTCATCATTAAGGGAAATGTCTTTCCCTTCCTGTCTTCAGCTTCTCTATTCAGAAGGAAAACAGAGAAGCAAAATGGTGTTCTCTGTCCCCAAGCTTTGGGGATGATCTAAATTCTGAGGAGGCTTCCCTTGGCCTTCAGCCTGCCTGAAGCACAGCTATTCCCTATTCAGAGAATGTAAGCCTGTAGGGTGGGGGCAACCAGGCTTAGAGTCAGTCACTGAATTTTGGATCTGCCAGGTGACCTTAGATATGAACTTAACCTTTCTGGGTCTCTGTTTCCTAAATAAAGGTTAACAATCAATCAACTTTCTCTCCTAGGACCAGCCAAAGGATAAATTATTATAATTTAGGTAATGTATCTGACAAGTGTAGTGCAACCCTAGGCCTGAGTGAGAGCCTGCCTCTACGTCGACCACCATCTTAAATTATCTATTCCCAATTTGTATCCTGCAGTGTAGTTATTCAGAGTGGATTGTCTTTCTCTGTCAAGTGCAGCAGGAAGACCTTAGGGTAGATTTATGGTTGCCAAGGGAAATAGTAGCATGAACCTCCTTAGAGATAAAGGGGAGTATGTAGTGGGGATAGTGGCCAGGATGGGCCTCTGGCCTCACCAAATGCTTGCTCTTGCCCTTCAGGCCAGCCACACACCCGGAGCACTGTCATCACAGCTGTGAAGTTCCTCATCACGGACCAGCCCCATCCCATCGACCCCCTCTTGAAGAGCTACATTGGTGAGCATCCCCACCCACCAGCTCTGGAGCTTGGGCAGATTTTTCTTACACATTAGCCAAGAGGAATAGGAAACCCAAGAGGCTGCCCCATTTGCTGTGATGGGGTGTGGAAGCCAGCTCTTAAGTCAGGAGGCTTGAGTTCAAATCCCTACAGTGCCACTGAATCTGTGAGTGAGCCTGGCATGTCCTTTTCCATCTCTGAGCCTCAGTGTCTTCATCTGTAAAATAGGAATATGAAACCCTTATCAGCATATTCTAGAGTTGGAGTTGAGGGGTAGGACCCCATGGGTTACTGAGGGTGAGCATGGCTCTGGGAAGTGGAAAAGAACCAATTTCACACATTCTTTGGCAGTCATCAAACTGGGTGACTTCACGGAGATGTTAATACAAGACTGGAGAGCAACTCCCCAGTCTTCCCCTATCTGCAGGTCTTCTGTCCTGAGGAATCCAAGCCTTTTTGTTGGGAGGAGGCTGAACCCTTCCTGAGATTCTGCAGAACTAAGCTCTTCTTTAGAGAAGGCAGAGCCCTCATCCTCCAGGGCTCTGTGCCATACCCAGTATTGGCCCTCAGCCAGTTAGGGGCAGCCCTGTGGTATGGAGAGCTCTGGAGCTGGCTAGCCTCAGACTCCAGTCCCTGGCCATGGGAGTGATCTCATCTGCCAGCCTCACTCTGCTTAGCCATAAAGTGAGGGTGCTGATCCCCACCTGCCAGAGATAGTTGTGTGAGACCAAGATATCAGCAGATAAGTCATCATGCTTGTTGTTGTTGTT